ACATAACCACGTCCAAAATCTCGTCTGCCAGTACCATAGATTAATCTAAATTCATCTCACTGGTGATATTCCATGGTCTTGTGTTCATTTGTACCCAGTGGTAGATGTACTCAGTGGGATTCAGCAGCAGCTTAACACCATTTCCACCGCAATCAATAGCAAAACTCCTAAATACTGCAGCTGGAAAACAATTAGGCCACTATTGAGTACATTAGAAAAAATATCGATTTGGTGAAATTGAGGTTTAGTGTTGGTGAGTTTGGCTTTGTTAATGTCAGGGAAACTGCCCTTGTTATGATCAAAGCTGAACTTGAACCAAGTTACACTATTCAGTCCAATTCTATCTCTGCCTCAGATTTAGCTTGTCCCTGACACTGTTCTGATATTCTAGTAATGATTTCTGTAGACCAGCCTGCAGTTAGCAGCTGAGGACAGCTAGGTCAGCCAATGTCACGGTCTTTTCTTTGAAAAATCTGAAAACAAATTCCAAAGAAAAGATGCTGCTCTCAAGTATTACCTTCTTTAACTTCACTTAGGGGAGCCTAAATTTCTGCTTCTGCAGACACCTTGCACAAGTGCCTCTCTTTTATGCTCCAGACAGAGACATGTGACTTTTTACAGATTTCAGGTGTGTGATGGAAATTCAGAGCTCCGTGGATTTTAAGGCCGGAGAGGCTGCTGCATTAATCTAATCAGAGCTAATGCATAGCACGGATCAGGAAACTATTATCAGCTACTTCCTACTTCAAGTCCAGCAGCTGAAGTCGAACTAGGATCTCAGGTTTAGAAAAACACACAGAAGTTTAAAAGGAAGTTTAATAGTCTTTCAGGGGACAAACTCACTAGAGCTTTGGGTGGGCCTAGTTCCAGTTAGTAACCATCCAGTGATCAAACAGGTCTAGTATTTCCACATTCCATCTACAGCTTATAACTATTAATTTCCAATACACTTTTTGTACCCAAGACTGTAATACCCTCTGTTATCACATGCCTATCCTCCTTGTCACTCTTTACAGACCATGATGAAGCTATGTCTTAACCTTCTCTTTAATAAATTCAGTGGATTGAGACCCTTGAGTCTTATAAAACCCAAGCTCCGATTGTTTACTTATTCTCTCGGTACTTTCTAAATTTGCCCAATTTCTAAACTTTTTTCCTTGAAGGACAGAGAAGGAAGGGAAAAACTCAAAAGTAGGATAAGGTAGCAGAGAAATAAACACCTACTGAAATAGAAGCTCACAAAGAAGCAAGAGATGACAAAAAGACCATGCAAAGCCGTGCCCATTTACAAGTATGCTTCCCTAAGTTATCCTGTCAATTCCAAGACGCTGATACTCAATTCTCCTACCTATCCTTCCACTCAATTATTTCAGCCAACCAGTGATTTCTATCAGTGATTCTTGCAAGGCCTTCCCAGCTTAAGAACACACACTATGCCTTTGCAGAATTTTTTGGAAGCAGAGCTCATTAGCACTGCAAGGCACTAAACCAACAGACAGTCTCCCCCAAACCACTACTCGTGTCACAATTGAGCTCCACTAAAGTAGGACTGTGTTCTTTCCCATCCCCCGCCCTGGAAATATCTGCCTTGCTTCAAGGCCAGCACTAGAGGACTCAGAAGAAACAAAAGGCACACGGACACAAAGCACACATATGGAGCTCTGGGCTTCAATCATCAAGCCTGGGACATCTGTGGCTTTCTCAGGATGCCCGTGTGTTCAAGTAATTAGACCAGGGCCAGCTGTCCCCTTCTCGCTCTTCACCCTTTATGCTCCCATTGCTTCTACTACCTCTATCTGTTCAAAGAGTATTTCATCTGATGGATCACCAAACGAGTAGGTTTTTTTGTTGTTTATTCTTTGGAAGGAAGGAGTGGAAGAGAACTGGTGAGGCAGTAAAGAGGAGAAAGGATTCTCCTGACTACGTCTCATGAGACACCTCAATGTTTCCAAACAAGCTTTTGCCACGTGAGAGGAAAGATTTACTTTAACCTTTATATTCTGAAGTTATAAACTCCAAACAGTTGTACTGGTATTGAAAATGAAACCATCAGTAGTGAACCCACCTGCTCAGGAAAGCTTACTGCTCTAAGGACACATTCAACTCTTGTATTCTGGGCCTAATTTCCCTGTCAGCGATCCAGAAGTAATTCAGGGAAATCAATGAACTGTATTTCAATCTCAAAATGCTCACTGCAACACACTCCTTTCTGAAATCTTTCTGCCAATTTGTGCTAGAGCAAGCTAGAGGTACAGTAGGAGGCAGGTCTCCACATCTGTGGGGGTTACCGCAGTGCAGCTGAAGCTTTTACCAGTTGCATGAAAGCAGGAGCGAGAACAGAACCAACCCTTTGTTCTCAACCATGAAATTACATTTCTAGCTTTGCTCCAAAGCCAGACTCCCAAACAGGCCCAAGCTGGAGCTGGGAAAGGAACACTGCTCCCCAGCCTGCATTTAGCGAGTAAGGACATGACAAAGCAAAAGGCTCCCACATGCACTAAGCAGCCCTGTCCTTTGACAGGGCAGCAAGTGCTTGGATGATACATTTACTGCAGCTTGTGCTGCAGCGTGCCTGCCCGTGTATCATCTCCATAGCAGCAGTTCTGCTAATTGAGACCAGCTGCTTCAATTCCAAATTTTTCTCTCCAGAAATATCGATACTACGGCATTATGATTAGAAAGCACTTTACCAAATGCCTCTCAATTCTGCACAGCTCAGATGAAGAGCAGCTGCAGAGAGAAGGGACAGTTCCCTGAACATACAAAATAAAATACTGCAAAAACACTGGAGAAATGAAGGCTACAAGAAGCAAGTCAAAATAGAATAACGATGACAAGGAAAGCAGCCTGCTGTATATGCTTGTGCCTGTCACTTCAGATGTTGAAAGGACCGTGAGCAGACTTCTTCCTTATGCTCTAGGATTAATGGCCACAGCACTGCACTGTTACAGCTTCATGTGGCAGGTGTACATGTTTGTCAGATCCAGTTTTTCTGTCCAAGGCTGGATTAAAGCAAAATCCATCAATCTGGGCCTGGCTTGGGAGAGTAGCTGTGGTCTTGAATCATTTGGCTCCAAGGGCTGTTCTGCACAGCCCACTGGCAAAGAAAGTCACTAGAACTGATAAGCTAGTGGGAAGCTGCACAAAGTAGGAATGCCACCACAGTACTGTGAGTTGGCTTCACTGTTGGCTATTTCCCTGCGGCTGTTGACTCCATACAGCAGGTTGTCAGCTGGATGCTTTACAATGGTCACACTGGGATTGCCAAAAACTGCGTTTTTCCCCTCCAGCCAGACTGGATTAAGCTGGCTAACAGTACAGTCAATTCTAAATTCACTTAGAAGTCTCAGGCCCTGTCTGTGACCAGCAGACAGAGGGCATTCCTGAAAAGACATCTGGTTACTGAATTTATGCAAGAACTGGGCAAACCACTTCAATCCCATCTGTTGTTCCAACCTCCTGAGCACAGAGAACAGAATCCTTGAAAGAGAAAATCCCACCAAGAAGGGTCTGAAAATGAGAACCACAATAAAACATGTGATTTCCTCCTGAGAAAGACGCTGTACAATCCTACAGAAAACACGGCACGCTTCAGCATGTGGCTGTGTAAACAAGGGCCTAACACACCATTTCACAACTCCGATTTCATACTACAACCGAGGTAATGCAACACAACTAAAGCAGAGAGATTGCTTTGCTATGCTAAGCGATTTGCCTCCTACTCTGAAAATCAATGAGGTAAATAAAATGTTTTATACAAATACCAGACAGTGTCTCTCAGAGAACAAAATGCTCATGTTTGTTAAAAATATTCCTATTATTTTACTCTGGAAAATATCCAGTGTTTAGTGTCTCATTCAGATTTTACCATTTAACCACAGTTTTCTTACCTATTTCACTTTCTAACTTTTGGTCTATATTAGAAGTCTGTTTGAATCCACAGTACTGGGATTCCCACAGGAGAGGGAATATATCAATGAAATTCCAGAAAGGTAAAGTCTGAACACATTACAATGGAATGTAAACTTTTGGAATTCTTCTCTGAAAAAAAAAAAACAACTTATATTTTTTGTGTAACATTCACTGACTCTATATTAGCTGAAAATCCATTTTCTTTCTGCTCTGGGTAAACAGTGCTTGGAAACACCTGACACAGAAGTCCATATAGGAAACAGCAGTATAAACTTATATGCTCTGTGTGCTTCTATAGGGAAGTTACCTCAGCAAAGTGCTCCACGCTGCACACAAATCTGTTAGTGTAATTTGCAGGTGACAGCGTGATGGAATTCATTGATTGCACTGCAGTTGTGTTCCTTCCCATCAAGATGAATTTAGCCTTTCTAGTCACCAAATCACATGAATAAACTGTTATGCATACATTTATTTTATTTTTAGGTTTCCAAGATCAATCAATGACATTCATGTGAGGAGAATCACAAGGCTAGGTAAAAAACAAACTAAGCTCTTCTGAACACTAACAGTCATTGGGACCATTGGGACAAACACCTTGATGGCTTCCAATGGCACAGCTCTGTGGATTGTAAACAGAATTACACCAGCTCTAAACAGTCACACACCTTGGCACATCAGATCATAAAGAACCCATGCATCAGAGCAAGCAGTAGGAGTATTCAAGTAACAGATTTACTAGCCTCTGTTAAATCTCCTCATGCTGACATTTGTACACCTCAGTCTGCAATGTACCGCAACCACACAACTGCAGTGGTGGAAGTCCAATGCCCAACACACACCTGCCCCAACAGAGAAGCAAGACCTCTGCAGCTGACCATTTATTTTGTTCACAAAGCACAGGCATACTCCCATTTAATTTCAACTGCCCTAGCCTCCCCCATAACTAAATTATTATTATTATGCTCTGCATAATCCTAGTACTGACAGGGATGTTTGTTATACATAATTAAAGATATTAATTTTGCATGGAACAGAAGACACAGAGCCAGGAATCTAATTTTTTTTTAAATCTCCCATTAGAAAATTACCTTCATTAGCACCGACTCACTGAGCTTCTCTCTGTTGACAATTTTTATCGCGACCTTCTGACACGTGACACAGTGAACCCCCAACTTCACAAGCCCTGCAGGAGAAACAAAAGCAAAACAGAAAGGAAGAATTGGTTAGAGACAGTCGCTGTTGAGTTTTTTGCTATTAGAACACCATCCAGCACTTAGCAACTTATATGCAAATAAATTCCCACCAGTATCTTCTCCAGCCAGATAAGGTCGTGTGAGTAACGATGACTCCACAGCCCACATTGTGACCATTCGGTTGTGAAGCCACCAACATCCTTGATGCTCCTGCGGTTCCTGCCACTAAAACTGTGTTTCTGTTGAAACACTGTATTCCACCTCAAACAACTCAAAGTGCATTCTATCAATAAGAAGTTCTGCCAATTGAACCACACTGGACTAAGGGCTTTTGTTGACACTTGACATCAACAAAACCTCACAAATCAGCAAAACTAGATGGTCATATGTTTGCAGTGTAGATGTAGCTTCTGCTGTTCTCTAGCTCCTTCCAAAGCTTTTATGATCCTAATAAAAAGGTACTTAATTACGGTTTCATTTACTATTTTAATTTACCCTCCTGGATAAACTTAGGACTGTGATGAATGCCATTGTGGTGTGGACAAACATCAGCATATGCTGATACAATTCTAAGTTCTTCTTACTTGTTATTACTTACTATATCCTTGTCCTCAAATAATACAGAGTGCTGTTAAGTGATTATATTGGCAAAAGGATATGGATATCCCTGACAGGATCAGGATGTCTGAACTACCCCCAAAATATGGAACAGAACCCCAAGACTTAAAAAAAAAGAAAGAGCTAAGTAACATACATGAAGCATTACCCTCTGCAAAATTTTCATCTAAATCTGCTGACTTGCATGGAAGTGCATTGAGATAACTCCTACAAGTTGAGTATAAGATGGTACCCTGAGCTCTCAACTCTACTGCCATTAAGAAAATCTGTAGCTGGAAGAATTGTAGGTTATTCAAGTGAGATCTTGTTGGCTTCAGCTTTTACTCTTGTCAAACATGCACATGAAGCACAACACCTGATGGGCTGGATCCCATCCCACTCTACACACTGTATGCCAAATTGCCATTTAGTTTAATTCAGTTATAACAGAAGTAAAAAGAAATTGCACCTCCCTGGTGTCACTAAGACGTGCTGTGCTTTGCAGAGTATTTATGAGCAATGACATTACAGAGTAGGAAAAAGCCTAACTTAGCTAGCAGCTCCTAGGCTGGGCTGCAGTTAAGAAGCCAACCTATTCCTTGGTGCAAACCACAGAGCCAAACACATTGCTTTATCTGGAATTTCAACACCAGATTTGCAGTCCAGTGAAACTCCGAACACAGGACTTCACGTGTCTTACTGAAGGATAAATATATAGACTATTGCCTTACTACAAACTGGCTCCAATGAAGTGAACTAGAGCTTCTTCAGGGACTCTAGCAGTCTCCTGCGGGTACTTGTCTAAGCTTTTTCAACACAGTTAATCATAAATTTGGAACTATTAATCACTGGCTATTAAGTGGAGAAATAAACTCCCAACTTGCTTCCAGTCACATCTCTTTTACAGCATGCTCAAGTCTTCTGGATATTTCTAGTCACATAATTTCTCAGCCTTATCTGAGGTTAAATGCTGACCTCCTCACTTTCAGCCATGACACAAACAAGTCACAAAAGTTAAGAATGCAATGCACTGACAAATCCATTTGAAAATGTGTAATAGTGTGTCCTCAGCCCAAAGCAAATGAGAAGCACAGCTGGGGAAAGATGGTGTGATGTCCAGCCACACTCACTCTTCTGTATGATTTTTTTTCTATTCAATTTATAATATTAACCATAGCACTACTGGTGCTCTGTTCACCATTCAGAGCAGCTGCAGCCTTCCTTACGCTTCTTCCCTTTGGCTTTGTTCTGTGTTTGGATAGCGACTACTTGGCACCACCCTGCTGAAAGTGTGCACTGTTTCAATCTGTGCCAATTGCTTCCTTCCTGCTTCTAGTACAGATTGCAGCTCTACATCACTCTTGCAGCACGACACCACTTTTTACATTGCTCTAAGTTACTTTCAAATCTCAGCAGAACTTTTAGCTCAGTCCTTTATATCAAGACTCCTGGGATCTGTGGCACAGTGCTGTATTGTAACATGGTGCAGACCAATTATTTTCAGAGGTCAATGAAGGTGAGAAACAATTGTTCTCTGAGTCTTCACCAGTGATATACCAGACTTGTGGTATCTCACACTTCAGGGTTTGATTTCCAATCTTGTTGCTCCCAAATTAAGACATCTGTTTCACTGAACGTGGCTTATTCATGAAGTATTTTTCTTTTGTCCTGCCTGAAGCACCCCATCATTGAGTCAGAGAAGGGTTTAACCATGAGCTTCTGGGATACTGTCATGCTGTACAGGCTATCTTCACAGTGTCCTCTGTCTTTTTAGCTACTAACTTAGAAAATCAAAAATTAAGATTAAACCATTCTGTTTACTCAAACGAAAAGTAAATAAACTGTTAGAAGACACCAAGACTTTGCAAAAATAAAACTGAATCACACTGATTTTATACTAATTAATTTCATCACCCTCAAGAAATCATTCTTGATTTACACCATGATATCAAAGGACAGAATGAGAAAACGTGAGATTTAATGCAGCATTCCTCTTCTCCTGATTTGCATTTTAAAAATCAAGAAAAAAATTGCACTGTCATCGCTGTTTTGTGGAGACAGAACTTTTAGACAACTCTCTGAACAGCCCAAGACAGCACTTTTCACTGTACTAAATTCAATGAATGTAATTTTAGAATGAAAATAAAACATGCCGCTCTGCCTTGCTTCCTCCCTCCTCCCCGAGCCACTTCCTTTCACCATTTCCATGCCAGACTAAGAAAAAAAAAAACCAAAACCCTCTCAGTAAGTCCATCTATAGGATAACACCCTCCTGCAACTATGATGAAAGCCTAATTGAGTTTGTATTCAGGACTTCTGTTTCTGTCCTGTAATTTCAGTTAAGTGTATAACTACTGAGAGATGACTTACATAAATTTTGAGTTCCTGTGGGCTTCTGATTCTTAAGTCCTTTTAATGACATGGAGAACATTAACTATTTAAGATGTATTATTTATCTACATAATAACAGACCTATGAGAGAATAAGAACCAACTATGTGACTGAACTACTGAGCTGTTATGGAAAAAACTGAAGTGGTAAAATTGCCTGTTTAGAAACAAGGGTCCAAGGTGTGTTTGCAGGGTTGTGGAAGAGGCTGTGCATCTTCCACTTTTTCCTCTCCTGTATATTCAGCTGTAAATGAGCATCTCAAAACTATACAAATCCTCCAATACAAGTGTGTCAATAAGTTAGGTACTTATTTGTAAAGCTTATCTACACATTCAGGCCAGCATAGGTACCTGTGTACCTCTGTCTTCCTCAAAGGAAAATAAACAAGGCTGCTGCTGCTAAGAGGATATTTTGCACTGGCTTGGCCTAAAGCAAATCTGCCAGGCAACAAATAGAGTTTGAAATTGTCAGCTTCATGAATAATTAACTCCTCAAAAGCAGCCATGTATTAACGACTTCACCACTGTTAAAGTTAAATCCTGCCTGTCCTGACAGAAAATCTAAGATGCTGTGGGAATCAACCACTTGCAGTTTCTCTCAACCACCCACATAGCTGTACACACACACACACATTCCTTCAGGCACACTTCAGATCCCCACCCACAGGTCATTCCTGGGGGCTCGTGGATACTGACACACTGGGGCTTTCAAACAGGTTGTTGCACCCTAGAGCTAGCTAGAAGCATTGGGCTGCTTTTGATATTAGCCACTGAACTTCACCAGAACCAGCCCTATAATTGAAGGTGGAGAGCAAAGAAGGAAACATGAAAACACTGAAAAACAAGGGGATGTGTAAATTAACACGGACTTTTTATCCTAAGTTAAAGCCACTATCTGAAAAAGAATGAGCATGAGGAACCCTATATGACACAAGGGAAAGATTCCACTGACGGAAGAAGAGCAAAGGGAAGCGTACAGGCCTGAGACAGCCTAATGCTGCAGCGACCTGTTAGTAACCACACTTATGCATTTTGCTGCTCATAAACTCCCACTCTGTGGATGCTCAGAGATACACAGATCTTTTCTGAAAAGGACAGGAGCTTATATGATGAGCAAGGGACAGAGTTAGATCAGCTGGAGAGGTGGACAGTGTCTGAAGCAGTTCAGAGAGAAAATTCTTCTTTTACCCAAGAAGAATGTTCTATGGGGATGGAGAAACAAAAGTTTCCCTCCAACTGACAATACACTCACTGTGAATCCATGAACCCAGCAATTAGCCTATATTGTAACTGGCAATCACCTCCATGACTTTTCAGCCAAGAACAGGATTTCAGAAAAGGCTGATTTACTTTTGCCTTGCATTTTGTGCAGTAATTTTTCTCTAACACAGACTGAATAAAACACTAAGAGTTGTTGCTATTTGATACCCACATCACAACTGCATAAATAGTAGCATCTTACTAACGATCCTGTTATTACAACTCTTCATTGGAGAAAGAAACATTCTAGGAACAAGAGATAATGTTTTCAGTACAAATCATCATTTTAAGTGAGAGAGAAAATAATAAATAATGAAATATCACTGTTGTTTAAATACACCACTTATGGTATATCCATTGTTAATAACGTTCCCTGTCTTTCTGAAATGTTAAACACAAGTAACTCATTATCCTGATTTTTAACCATTAGGCCAACAACTACTTCAAGAAGTGGAATGAAAAATTAGGTACATTTGCTGTATTTATTACATACAATTTTTCCAGTGGCAAATGGAAGTTTTTTGTTTTCTTTCAAAATAAAACGAACCAAATGCCCTATTCATAAGCATTGATAAATTTCTGTAGTAGGGAAACCAGCCACTGATTTCAGAAGATCATCTGCACATACACATTGCTTGCTCTTCATTTCACTTCAGTGCATTATTGAAAAACTTAAAAAATCCAAGTGGAAAGCCCCGGTCTGGACAGTAGTGTCTATTTTGGCTGGATGAGCAATTAAAGGA